AACGCATTCATACAATTTTATTATTTATGGAATTCATGGAAATATAAAACATATAAAGTACTCAAAGGCAAAATTATTATTTTCTAATCTTTCTCTTGCCTTTCGTGTTAGCTCTTGACTCCAAAAGCAACTCAGCCTATAGGGCTAGATGTGCTCATGCTGCCAACTTTTTACTTTCTTACTTTGAAATCATTTTTAGCTTTCCTGAACATATTCCTCACATTAGAGAAGAACATTGCTTTATATTTGTGTGTGTAAACAGACTGTGGGGTTGGCTTTCTTAATACTTTTTCCTCAGTATTGTAAAGCAAATCTTGGCTGCTGGCAGCCAGGAACAGGCAGATTAGGTGGGAGTAGGAGGCAGAAACTTGCAACCCATGAACTGCATTGGCTTTTTCAACATACTCTTTCTCCTCAACTACAGAGAAAATTTTCTTAGTGTTTGATCTTACGCATCTTTGAATCCAAACATCTCATTATTTGCCTTATACAAACTACAAACACATTTGCAATTTATAACACATAATCAATCTATTGGAAAATATTCTAAACAAAAACGTTCTTTTCATAGAACACAATAGTGCAACTGAACACTTAAAAATTTGTGTTCAGGATTACTAGCATAATGGTGTTACCTAACATTTATTAAGTACTTTTTGGATGTTTAGCACTTGGGAATTATTATAAACACCTTCTCAAAATTCACCTGGGAGTTCAAAGGCTATGTGTGACCCAAACAGTCGCTTTCTTCCCAACACTGAGGAATGGCATACAAGATTGTCTTGAGGTTAAGGGCAGGTGGGGAAAGAAATTTCTACAATCTTGTCAGCACACATTGATCTTACATAAATTTCTCCATCAGTTATATACATTTTGAATGAACCACATTACTTAAAGTTGTCCAAATGATTGTTTCATGTTGTAAAATTTTCAGAAAACTGAAAGAAGCAAAAGCAAACTTTCTCAAAGAAGGTAACATCTCATCCAGTCCTTGATGAAACTTGCAAGTAATTTTCTATGAACAGTGACTAGCAAGCAACCAACGATGAGAAAACTCACAATAAAGAAGACAGTGTGAAAGACATCAGAAGAAGAAATAACAGAAACAAACCTACAAAGACATCCAATGTTAGATTTATCAACAAAAATACTAAAAACAACTAGGCTTACCATATTTAAATAAGACAAATGAAAGTATCTACAGGAAATCAGAAACTATAAAATAATTTTAAAAGTAACTAAGTTGTGGAATGAATAATACAATAACTAAAATAACTCACTAACCACATTCGAACTTAGGTGCACTGGACAGAACTAGTAAAGATGAGAGATCAGATGAAATTAACACATATGCACAAATGTCAGTCTCAGAAAACTCTGGTAAGTCTTTCAGACATTTGAAGTTTAAAAATGAAAAGCATACTGTTAATATTATTTAACCTTTCAAAAAATAGAAGTAAAAACACTGCACAACTCAATTTCTGAGAGTCAATACCAAAGATTGACAGAGACAAAACATGAATAACTATAAAAGTATCATTCATAAAGACAAACTTTAAAGTTTTAAAGCATTTGCTAACAAACTGAACCTTGCTCTGTGTAAAATAAGTAAACCCGGCTGGGAGCGGTGGATCACGCCTATAATCCCCGTACTTTGGGAGGCTGAGTTGGGTGGATCACGAGGTCAGGAGTTCAAGACCAGTCCGGCCAATATGGTGAAATCCCGTCTTTACTAAAAATACGAAAATTAACCAGAGATGGTGGCACACACCTGTAGTCCCAGCTACTCAGGAGGCTGAGGCAGGAGGATCACTTGAACCCAGGAGGCAGAGGTTGCAGTGAGACAAGATTGCACCACTGCACTCCAGCCTGGGTGACAGAGCGAGACTCCATCTCAAAAAAAAAAAAAAAAGTAAAACCATGAATAAGTTTATCTCAAGAGTACAAGATAAGTTAAACTTTGTAAATGTATATATACAATAGGCACAGAAAAAAGAGCTTGATAAAAACCTTTTAGCAAACTAAAAATAAAAGGAATTTTTATTTTCTAAATATAGAAAGTATTTAAAATATACTACAGCAAATGTACATGATAAACCATTGAAAGCTTGTCTTTTGATGTCATAAACATTATAAGGATGCTGCTATCAACATTTTTACTAAATATTGCATCTATGGTCCCAGCCAATAGATTAAAATGAGAGCTCAGTATCACGATTATACTGGCAAAGTAGAATAAATCAATAAGCTAGTACCTAAACAATTGGTTCTACCTGGGTAGACTGGATTCCTGCACAGCAACTGACACAACAATTTTTCATATAGATTGAAAATTTAAAACTTTTAGGAGAAAATACAGGATAATATTGTTGTTATAACGGTGAGGTAAAACAATTTCTTAAACACGGCACAATATATTATAAATTAGACTAAATTTTAAGAACTTTTGATTAAGAACTTATAAAAACATGCTTAAATAAAGATGGTGGAAAGGCAAATCATAACTAGGACAAAAATCTATAAAAAACATATATTACTAAAAATTAGTATTTAGACAATATACCTTACAGAATATGAATGCACAAAGAAATGAAATACATTAAAAATAGACAGATGGCACATCTTAAAACACAATTGACCAATTAACTTCTGAAAAATGCTAACTTCATTAGTAACTGTAGAAATGCTAATTAAAACTATAAATGATATACCATTCTGATTCTCCACTTTGTCAAAAAATATTGTGTCCAGAATTTATTCCTTTTGGTGGGTTCTTGGTCTCACTGACTTCAAGAATGAAGCTGTGGACCTTTGCGGTGAGTGTTACAGCTCTTAAAGATGGTGTGTCCGGAGTTTCTTCCTTCTAGTGAGTTTGTGGTTTAGGTGACTTTAATAATGAAGCAATGAACCTTCATGGTGAGCGTTACAGCTCTCAAAGGTGGTGCAGAACCAGAGAGTGAGCAGCAACAAGATTAACAGTGAAGAGTGAAAGAACAAAGCTTCCACAGCATGGAAGGTGACCCAAGCAGGTTGCCGCTGCTGGCTCCAGGTGGCCAGCTTTTATTCCCTTATTTGGCCCCACCCACGTCCTACTGATTGGTCCATTTTACAGAGCACTGATTGGTGCGTTTACAATCCTTTAGCTAGACAGTGCTAACTGGTGTGTTTTTACAGAGTGCTGATTGGTGTGTTTGCAATCCTTTAGCTAGACACAGAGTGCTGATTGGTGCATTTTTACAGAGTGCTGGTTGGTGCATTTACAATCCTTTAGCTATACAGAGAAGTTCTCCAAGCCCCCATTTGACCCAGGAAGTCCAGCTGGCTTCACCTCTCAATATGTCTAGTAATTCCAAGAGTTGGCAAAAATACAGAGTAACTGGAATTCACAAATAACCATGGCTATAGAATTGGTTTAAAAATTGACATACATTCACACTATGCAGCAGTGAAAATGGGCAACTGTAGCTATGCAAAGCGACATGGAAAAATAGAAGGAAACAACTGTAGATAAAAAAGTAAGTCACCGACAAAAACTTGTAGAATTTATCTAGAGCAAAAGAACAGATAACACTGAAACATACATTGCTTATAGACAAAATTGCATAAAGTAAATGATAATATAAAATTCAGATACTGGTTACTTTGGGTTAGGAGGACTTTAGGAAACTTCAGAGGTATCCACTTCTCAGGAATGCATGATTTTATGAAGTTATACTGAAAGTTCATGAGAGTAGAGACCAATACTTCTTTCTTTTCTTTTCTTTCCTTCCTTCCTTCCTCCCCTCCCTCCCTCCCTCCCTCCCTTCCTTCCTTCCTTCCTTCCTTCCTCTTTCTCTCTTTATTTTATTTTTTTTAATGTTGCCCAGGCTGGAGTGCAGCAGCACGATCTCGGCTCACTGCAATCTCCGCCTCCCAAGTTCCAGTGATTCTCCTGCCTCAGCCTCCTGAGCAGCTGGGATTACAGGTGCCCGCCACCATGCCCAGCTAATTTTTGTATTTTTAGTAGAGACAGTGACAGAGGCCACCCGACTCGGCCTCCCAAAGTGCTGGGATTACAGGTGTGAGCCACCGTGCCTGGCCTCTATTTTTTTTTTTCTAAGGCTACCAAAAGAATGGCATATCATGTGTGCTCGACATACATTTATCATTTAAAAGAATGAATACATATTCTTTGTAAATTATGAAACTATGCAAATCAAGATTTTATTTTTATTTCCTATAGTTTAGTTAACAGAATCAAATAGAAAATAATAAAATGTAGAATTCAGAAAGCACTATCGAAAGTTTAAAGTTAAACCAGCACTTCTGGGTAAAAATATATTAAAATTTTTAGTTTCCAAATTCGTGACCATCATAATTACATTTAAATTGCCACATTAGGATGGAACATGAAATCTGACTTCAGGAGAGAACAATTTAAGAGGAAAAGGCAGAAATAAGAGAAAAAGAAAAGAATAAAAAAATTTGCTTGGGTCAGATCTGCAAGTTCTCCATACTTTTCTTTTCTTCTTCTTTTTTTTTTTTTAGAAAATGATTTTTTCCTCTGCTGGTGCAGAGAGAGGGGCTGGGGACTCTAGGCCTCTCTGTCCTCTCCGAGGTGGCAGTGGCTAATCTCTGCTCAGGCGTGAGGGGCACCGCTATGCGCTGGGCCTGAGGCTGCCCGGCCCAGCCCCTCCTCACGACCGTGGACTCTTCCATGGTGTCTCCGGGCTCCTGCACCATCCTGTGTGTCTCTCTGATGAAAGCGGAGGTGACAGCATAAAGATGATGGGGGAACTGCCCCGCATGCCCAGGAAAGCTCGTCCAGCTACGCAAAATGGTCTGACTGACGTCGGGTTTCTGCGCACCAAGCTGGACTCTGACCAAGGGTTACAGCCAAGGCGTCCTCGGGCATGGGCGTTTCCGCTGCTGTAGGAGCAGCCCCGCTGGCAGGAGGCGGCGGTAGCAGTGGTCACTGAAACAAGGTCCTGCTGATAAATCTAAGACACCAGGATTGGTGCTGCAGCCGCTGCCGCCGATTCCGGATCTCATTGCCGCGTGTCCCGGACAACCGCCTGACGTGCATTCCCGATTCCTTTTGGTTCCAAGTCCAATATGGCAACTCTCAAGGATCAGCTGATTCATAATCTTCTAAAGGAAGAACAGACTCCCCAGAATAAGATTACAGTTGTTGGGGTTGGTGCTGTTGGCATGGCCTGTGCCATCAGTATCTTAATGAAGGACTTGGCAGATGAACTTGCTCTTGTTGATGTCATCGAAGACAAATTGAAGGGAGAGATGATGGATCTCCAACATGGCAGCCTTTTCCTTAGAACACCAAAGATTGTCTCTGGGAAAGACTATAGTGTAACTGCAAACTCCAAGCTGGTCATTATCACGGCTGGGGCACGTCAACAAGAGGGAGAAAGCCGTCTTAATTTGGTCCAGCCTAACGTGAACATCTTCAAATTCATCGTTCCTAATGTTGTAAAATACAGCCCGAACTGCAAGTTGCTTATTGTTTCAAATCCAGTGGATATCTTGACCTATGTGGCTTGGAAGATAACTGGTTTTCCCAAAAACCATGTTATTGGAAGTGGTTGCAATCTGGATTCAGCCAGATTCCGTTACCTGATGGGGGAAAGACTGGGAGTTCACCCATTAAGCTGTCATGGGTGGGTCCTTGGGGAACATGGAGATTCTAGTGTGCCTGTATGGAGTGGAATGAATGTTGTTGGTGTCTCCCTGAAAACTCTGCACCCAGATTTAGGGACTGATAAAGATAAGGAACAGTGGAAAGAGGTTCACAAGCAGGTGGTTGAGAGTGCTTATGAGGTGATCAAACTCAAAGGCTACACATCCTGGGCCATTGGATTCTCTGTAGCAGATTTGGCAGAGAGTATAATGAAGAATCTTAGGCGAGTGCACCCAGTTTCCACCATGATTAAGGGTCTCTATGGAATAAAGGATGATGTCTTCCTTAGTGTTCCCTGCATTTTGGGACAGAATGGAATCTCAGACCTTGTGAAGGTGACTCTGACTCCTGAGGAAGAGGCCCGTTTGAAGAAGAGTGCAGATACACTTTGGGGGATCCAAAAAGAGCTGCAATTTTTAAGTCTTCTGATGTCATAGCATTTCACTGTCTAGGCTACAACAGGATTCTAGTTGGAGGTTGTGCTTGTTGTCCTTTTTATCTGA